CTCTCTCTCTCTCTCTCTCTCTCTCTCTCTCTCTCTCTCTCTCTCTCTGTACCGAGATTTCATGTTTTATCGCTCCTTGCCCGGTTTGGAAAATCGGGTATATCGATAGAGATAGAGTTAGTACGTTCGCCAAGTTATCTCGACGAAACGGAGAGGGGAAGGAGAGGGGATGGTCTCGAGCGGAGAGAAAGATCGCGCGATTCGCTTTCTCTTTTTTTCCCCCTCTCCTCCAAAACCTTTACCTCTCCGACTTTCTACCTTCTTCTCGAGTTTCTTCTCTCCTCTTCCCCCTCTCCTCCTTTTCGACGTCACGCGCGAATCGTTAGCGAGTTGTCGCGCGTTGCCAAATTTTACCCCTCCCCTTTACCACTCCCCCTCCTTCTTGCCGTCTTATTTGGCCGGGTTCCAAACCAGGGTCTACTAAACCAAGGTTCACCGAGTAGGGCGGCGTCTTGCGCCCCCCTCCTCCTCCTCTCTTCCTTCCTTGAGCATACTTGCGGATATATGATTGGGGAATTTTTTTCTTCCCACGGAGGAACAAAACAGCGACGCCACGCCGAATTCCTGACAATTTCACGCTCGCGAAACATACAAACACGAACAACTCGCTCCTTCGCGAAATATTCAATTTCATTTCGGTTTATTTCGAGGAGTAGGGGAGGGGAGACTTTTCCTTTCCCTTACCTGTCTGTCCCTCCTCCCATCCCGCTGATTCGTCAGGAATCCTCTTTCCCCTCGTCCTTTTCGCTCCTCTCTCTCTCGAAGAAGAAGAGAACGAAAGAACGAGAATCTATCCGAACAGAAGGAACCAGTGTATGGAGTTATGCATCGGTCGGTTATTTATCGTCGTCGCACGCGCCACCGAGCCCGCCCATTCTTCGTTTTCTTCGCTCGGTTTCGGCCTTCCCTTCCACGCGACTATTTGTAATTTTCCGCTCGGCGTGTTTCCGCCGAAACTCGGCCCGTCCACGCGGAAAACCGTCCACCGCCTCGTCGTCCAGATAAATCGCGGACGCGGCGTGGTTTTCTCGGAGGAGAAATCGCCTTCTTTTCCCTTCTCGCGGTAACTCATCGTCGAGTCCGGATATCGGCACGAATATACGAAATCGATCGATAGAGAGAGGGTTAAGAGATGAAGAAGGCGACGAGCATTCTATAACTTCGTTCTATTTCTCCTCTCCTCCCCCCCTCTTTATATCGGGATATCGAACGCGTGCCGCCAAATTTCGTAACGGAAGGAATTATAATTGAAGGAAGGGGAGGGGGGGGAGTGGCGTTTGCATCGATGATCCGCAACTTATTTCCGGCTTTTTCCAGCGGACGGATATTAAAGTTTCGGATGGATCGATCGAAACAACGCGATCGTTGAATGGAAGATGGAGAGAGGGAGAGGAACGAAGACACTGAGGCCATTCTCCCCGACGATTGCTCGTTAATTATTCAACGAATTTCGTCGCGAATACACCGTTATAGGAACGGTGATCGATTCGTCCGAAAAAGCGTCGATCGCTCGGAACACGATTCAACGATTCGATCGGATGGAACGTTG